GTATTACCCCTCGCATAGGGCTTTTTTGATAACTAGCAAATGATACATTTTTACCACTCGCATATGCCGTTTTTACCACTAGCATATGGCATATTTTGCTACTTGCGACTCGCAACTTGGTACTCGCATATGGCACTTTTTCTAGGTCGTACATACCTCGAATAAGAGAGAAAAAACGTAACGTAAAGCTGTGTGAATGAATTGAAACAACTGCTGAAGATAGAAAACTAAAACAGCAGTGTCAACGGAAAATTAGATGGGTGCACACTCTCTGCATAAATGGAAACGATGGCTTTGTTTATTTGGCCGATGTCGGCGAGCAACAGATTTCCTGTACTCACTTCCTCGTCTGATCACCGGCCCTCAACGGTCTCGCGTATCGGTGTCGTCATAGGTTAAGTAGTTGAAACTCTTTCGCATTGATGCAAATATTTCAGCCTAATCGTCCCTTTCGAACCACTCGCGAAGTTGGTCATAATATGACCTAGACGTGCTTGCAATCTCTTGCGATTCCAATAAAAAATTCTTGAAAAATAAATATAAATTGCGTAAAAGAGGGGTGAACGCGAAAGTCCTGTAATTTTTCATCGGAATCACAACAGGCTGCAGGCAAGTCTAAATTAGTAAATATGACCCTGAGTTGCAGATTTGTCTTTGCCTCGTCTGTCATTGGCGTCTTTGCTTTCTTGCTTTTCATCATCATTGCGTTAGTAAGATGGTGTTATTAAAATAGAATATAGACTTAGAAAATAAAACAATTTCTCAGACGAAGTCTTGACTGATAATAATGCTGACAATGGACGTTAGATTAATATGCATTGTTTGCGACAGGAAGCTTGTCACCTGTTCTATCAGAATCGTCAACAACAGAGTGTTACTGGTAGTATACAATACATGTTATAAACATTGTGCAAATATTAATGAAACGGTAGTAGTGTATGAGCACTGATCTTTCCGAAATTTCGAAAAGCTGGGATGATGAATCAAGGTACAAAGTAACCGTTTTATCAATTATTGAAAAATCAAGAAAAAAAAGAAAATTTCCCTTCCCGCTACATTAAGATCAATATGGACCACCAAAATTTGGCGTTCATTTAAAAAAATAAACCATAATTTTCAGTAATACTGACTTCGAAAATTATGATACAAAAATAATTACATTCATACCACAAAGCAACGCCATTTTTGTTTACTTTTCACAACTGTTACAAAGTATTTCATTTCTGGTGGTTAAAATACCAGCTAATCGATCGTAGGACACAAGTTTGGAGTCCGTGAAAAGTACTTTGCGTTCTACTCGCATTGAAGCTGCCGCCTATGCTAATGAGCATAGTTGCCGGGACGAAACCTTACAACTCCAAGATAACGTTACACCGTAATAGGCAGTCAACACCAACGTGCACGTTACACTATTTAACTTTTCTAGCCAGCGATGTGATGTGTCTAATCACCGTAAACCATGTGTCATTTGTTTGGTCCCACAATTTGTCTTCCATGTGCTTGCCGATCACCGAACAGTGCGGCATGTCGCCGGTACATAGTGTTTACACACTTTTTTTTAATGTACTATTTTTACCATTTAAAAATTATTTTTTATAAGGCATGCGGTGAACATCGACCATTGGGATTCGCGCTGTTCGACCTACCAACCAATAGGAATCGTGCTCTTCGTAGAGTGACACTGCGATCCTGTCGCAGAGTGCAATAATCGACTTTCGACGAGTCGCACAATCGCGTCGCAGAGTTAGTTTTTAGACCCCCATACATACATGGGCTGACAGAATATACTCTTTCTTTCAATGTTAGCCGAGTAGACAGCCACCTAGACCATCAAACCAACAGTCTCCCTCATGCTAGGTGGAAACGCCACACAAGTCGATATTCAGATTATTGTACAGGATATCAATGCAGTTAAAACCTGACACATCACAAGCAATCATTGACAAATATAAACATTCTGGTTTCTAGTAAAAGTCTTAACATCTATACCTTGTGTTTCTTTCCTTTTACTTCATAACCATCTAACTCGCTCTGTAGAACGTCCACTCGTTTCGTCAACTGCTGATTTCGAAATGATAAACTGTCAATTTCTTGTTCATATTTCCTGATGGTTTGGTCTCTTTCTTTTACTATTTCCTTTGAATGAAAAAAAACAAACAGATTTATTGATGTCAGTGCATCGGAATTTGTACTGTAAAATCTGTATTAGAAGCAGTTGCTTCTATTAATATGATACAATTAAACAGAGGGGATGCAACTTCTAAAAGAAATAATGATTTTTTGGTTCTCAAGTTGTTCAAAAAGAGAAGTGAAACTTCTTTTAGAAATGTGGCTTATACGATAGTACTTGTATATTTAATAATCTGTATAACCATTTCTATCACCTCAGGAAGTGTGTTGTTATATAGATAGATTCCAGCAAATAAACAATACAACAAGCAGCCTATCGGCTGAGATAGCTCCGCTGTTAGCAATGCACATTTCAATTAAAGAACTGAAGACATCATTAGAAAATGAACAATATGAATAGTATCAAAGCAATCGGACTTACAGTTTTTAACAAGAAGTCGAAAATATCACTTTTTACCAAAAATTACAAAAATATTCACCAAAATAAATTAATTAGAGAATTGAAGATATCATCACAAAACGAACAAATCTGAGAGAGGTCCACATGTAGTACCTATATATGTAATATCAAAGCAATCGGACTTACAGTTTTCAACAAGAAGTCGAAAATATCACTTTTTACCAAAAATGACAAAAATATTCACCAAAATTAGAGAATTGAAGATATCATCACAAAATGAACAAATCTGAGAGAGGTCCACATGTAGTACCTATATATGTAATATCAAAGCAATCGGACTTGCGGTTTTTAACAAGAAGTCAAAAATATCACTTTTTACCAAAAATGACAAAAATATTCACCAAAATTAGAGAATTGAAGATATCATCACGAAATAAACAAATCTGAGAGAGGTCCACATGTAGTACCTATATATGTAGTATCAAAGCAATTGGACTTGCGGTTTTTAACAAGAAGTCGAAAATATCACTTTTCACCAAAAAATGACAAAAATATTCACCAAAATTAGAGAATTAAAGATATCATCACGAAATGAACAAATCTG